AGCTTACATGCGTTTTTAGCTTAAACTGTAAAACCTACTACAGCTTGTAAAATCTGCATCAAGAACTCCTATGTTTAGTCTATAGGAAGTTATACATATATTGGAATGCATTCACCAATATATGATGCTTTTTGTGTGAACTGTTGCATGCTTCTTCTCTGATTCCCTGTTTCTTTCAATGCACACATACTGTTGGGTAATAGCATTTCAAGACTTTATCATGACTTATTGCATCGAGCAAACACAGGCCTAGCAAGGAGAGAAACTAAGACTAGCTAACTAATAATTTTCAGTGTTAGTTTTGTACTCTTTCTTAGTCATTAACATAAGATTATCACAGTATGGATTTATGTTTTCTTCCAAATTGCTCCAGATTGTAATGATCCTGCTTCCTGTTTGTGATCACTTAACATCCCAATGGTACAAACTCTATTCTTGCTTTAATGCATGAGATGAAGAACTGGCTAATGAATTCACATTCTTGTCAAGCTATTACATTTTAATTAGCTGTTAATGAATGTAAATCAGCAATTGTGTAATGCAAACAATTCATGAAGAAGGCTGCAGAGTCTAAATTGTTTGGGGAAATCCGTCTATACTTGGCTAGCAAAAATTAAAATAATAAAGGGTTCTTTTTTAAGTGAAAAATTTCTGAGACCTGGAAAGTTACATGATATATACAGACTGTAAGAAAATGATAGATCAAATCATATGCGAAAATGTGGAAGAATCTTGTTTACCGCCTAAGTCAGCAAAATAATGAACAGGAGCTGGTGCCCACTCATTCCATATTTTGCCCTTCAGTCTTGGCTGTTCCTGTAGGTACTCCAAGGGAATGGTCTCTGTCAGGAACTCTGTCCTAGCAACGAACACCTACTATATTGTTTCTTGCAGACAACCAACTGTGATACCTGAGACTCACATGGTCATTAATCATCTTTTCCATTATCATATTAGAACTGTGAGTCTCATTTACAATACAGTTTATCCGGAAATAGGGTTGAAGTAAGCATGGTATACATAGAGTTTTCAAATATCTGATTGATTCTATTTAAGTTTTTTAAGACTGGAAAACCCTGGAATAAGTGCTCTTATCCCTTGATCTTACTACTCTTAAGTGTCCGTAGTGCTCATTGAAAGGCACATTTCCTCATCATCTCATGAGAATCCTGTGATTGTGTTGGAATAGCAAATTTCATTAATACAAATAGGTAAAAAAGGTCAAACAAACCCCCAATAAATAGTAGTTTTCAAATTACACTTTAAAATCCTCCTACGGAAACTGAAAATAGTTATTGCAGTGTTATTTGCTCAAAGGTCTGATATAGTATCTCTCAGAGGAATGAACAATTCAGTTCTGCTTTAACCAAATGTGGAAGTTTAAAATCCAGCTTTTATGAGCTTAATCAGCTTCATTCCAGCAGAGGGCAACAGTAATAGGCTACAATTCATACAGAAAAATAATAGTGTGGAACACCATTCTTCTGCATTCCTGCTTCTCTGTCATAAAGGCTTTTAAATAATAAAAATTAAAAAACCTAAACATTTGCAATTGCTGTGCTCACTGGAAGCCAAAGCCTGCTCATTTGAATACCTGCTGAGAAGGGATGTTTTCATTTATTTCTTCTGCAGAACAAGTACAGCCATCACTGTGAAAACCGTCCATCTGTGATTGCAACATCTAGTACACAAACATTACTGAATTTGGCCATGGTCCTCTCTATGTTCCACTTCTTGTCATCTCCCTGACCAGTATTCTAATTTTTCATGTCTATGATGTCCAAACATATTGTCCAGCTGAATTTTTGGAACATATATAGTCAAATCTATTTGTACTGTCCACAATCAGTTATGCTTCAAACCAATCCTCTGTGATATCTTTCACTAAAATATATGTTTCCCATCCCTGGAAGTGTTGGATGGAGCTCTGAACAACCTGGTCTAGTGAAAGGTGTCCCTGCCCATGGTAGGAGACTTAGACCTAGATGATCTTTACTGTCTCTTCCAATTCTATGAACAATTCTATGATTCTATGATTTCATTATTTGTATTGTATCAACAACACTTGCCTATTTGGTAGTCAGATTCAAGATACTGCAGAGACCTTTTTTTTGACACCTTCTTTCTTTTCCCATGTCGAGGTGATCACCAGATCTAAATTACTTTCTCTATGGTATTTTTAGATTTTTTTTTCCCTAATTTGCATTCATGGAAGTTGAACCAGAATAGAATATCACCCCTCAGCACCTGTTTTTTTAGCAGGAAGTAGAAGCAGACAGTTCTTGCAGCTTACATAATGCTTCCTCTATCTTTGCTTCAGAACAGAATTTCTTTTCTAGCTTCTTCTTTTGTCTCCTTTTGTGCCATTTCTGATTTTTAATTACTCTGGAGAAACACATCTAAACACATATTTCTAAAGAATATTAAGAATATTCTCAGAGTGCCTGTTATTTTTTTTAATTATTTTTTTTTAGTATGGTATCTGCCAGTGTATTTTATTTAAAAATATTGCCTGCATGTATGTTTGAAGTGTATTCTACTCATGTCCTCTGATGAAAAGAATATTATTCATGCACATGAGTTACCTGAAGAAGCATTTCTCTTTTAGATAATCCATCAAGTAAGAGAAGATTTTTTTCCCTCTTTTAATTTATGAAAAATGTTTACATTTAGGTTTTAATTCTTAAGGATTTTAGATCTGCATCTTGTAGATTAAATTTTACTCAACGTTCATTGTAGCATTCTGGGAAGAACACTGTTGGCTAATGTTTTTCTTTCTGTGTGTTGCCTAACTGTAAAACTTTTTTTTCCTGTAATGTCCAATATTTATGCATGTGAATGATAAACATTTAAGTGGTCCTAAAACTAATTGCATTTAACAATTCTCAGCTCTGGGTTGACTTGAACAACTATACTGGAGTTTGCAAACTATAACAGAATGAACAATAATGTGTTTCAGGAAATCATCACCATATTACCTGAAAGATAAAGATAGTTGTTTGAATTAATCAAAGTAACAACAATTAAGACAACTATGTAATGTTGGTGCCTAGATCATACTTTAGAAAATTAGCTGGAAATTTTTGAATGAGAAAATGATGTTCCAATTACGCATTTGCATTTCACAGGAACATTCAAAGTACACAAAGCTCCTAATGTACTTTATATCTGTTTAAAAGAATTAGTCTCTATGTGTGAAGTAAACAAAAATACTCCTGAATTATTTAATATGTAACTGTAATTTGCTATTTAATAGATATTTTCACCATTTTGTTTAGAATAGTAAAATCTCTTGACAGTGTTCTTTCATAACTTAAAATTTTCAGGGTATTTGTCTTTGCTTAAACTAGATGAAAATAAACAGTTTTGACAAGAATTTTAATAGTTTCTACTAACACAAACAGGGATTTATCACGCTAGAGTAGTTAATGTTTGATTTAGGAATAAATCCCAAAAGCCTTCAAATAAGTTTTTCCTATTAAAAAAGGGGGGTTCAACTGCCTTTTCTTTTAAAAATTCATGTAAGATAGTTGGTATCTTATAAATATAAATTAATTTTATACTATTTCTTTGGCCACTGAATGTCTTAGCTCCTCTAGTGCTTCCCCTTAACTAACACTGAAGAAAGGAGGAAGCTGACGCTGATGTAAATGCAAGAAGGAAGGATGGAAATGTACTTCTGACACTTTTGATTCAAGATACATTTGAAAAACAACTGCAATTGCTTGCCAGGATGTTCTTGACAGTGAGAATTATCCTTTGATAGCAGAACTGTGGGATGTCAGTGGCAGACTCGCTCAGTATTTGCATGAGAAATGCGAAGAACTTGCCACTGCAGCAAACATAGAGTGGTTTTGAAGTCTGCAAAACAGTGTCACTCACATCTCTGCATATAGTTTTTGGAGGATGATATTGTAAACACTGGAGGAAATTCAATGATGATTCTTCTTTTCTTCTAAGAAGATGTTGTACCTTGGTTGAAGCAGTGTAAATGTTTTACTGTGATTTCCTGGCTTTTTGGATTATTCAGGTATATTCTATATAGATTCCTATTTGGCAATGTCTTTAAATATGTGTTCTAGTCATTTACCCATAACTAAAAAAAAAACTTTGTTAAAAATTAACATAAGAGAGCAAAAAATGAATTCTAGATATTAAGCATCTGTCACGAATGCACACTGTAGATTTACTAGGTTTGGTCAAAAGCTTTCAGGGTTTATGCATAAATTAAAGAAGAACACATTTGTTTTAGTAATGGTGGAAGTGGGTATGTTCCACACATAATTTTCTTTGTATTGGACACTTTTCTGTCAGAAAGCTGGCAATGTTTATTTAGAAGGAGCTCATGAACTGCAGAGCTAAATACAAACTTCTCATGAATCAGGTATCTCAGAGTGGTTTTCTCTTTACTTTTTACTTGGAGCTGTTGTTGAATGTTGAACGTTTAAGAAGAATTACTTGAACAATTATTGCAACTGATTCTGCATACTTGATTTTGCACATAGGATAAAACGGTAGAGTAAGGGATGTTTGCAAGTCTGTTCCAGCCCAAATTTTCATCATTCTTTAAGGAAAAAAAAATTTCTTAAAGCTTGGTGACTTCAGTGGTTGGCAGTAAGTTGCTGTGAATTACTTTTATTTACAGTTAAATATTCCAGTTTATTTTATAGCTTCTTATCTGAGAAAAAATAAAAAGACATATTGTTATAGAATTCAAATAATTTTGCATGTATTTGCCTCTCCTGTAAAATCCAGCAATTTTTTTGCATGTAGTCTCCTCTCATGTGTTCTGAGCATCAGACTGAACCACAAAATAACCCCAGAAATGTCCCATTATTCACATGAGCTTGTAAAAAATTTCAGTCCCTTTACTGCAGGAGATTTTATTTTCTTTTTTACATGCATAATTTGGAAGGGAGTGTCTGATATATCCAATGTTTTGGTTTTGGTTTATCTGCTAGTGACTGAGTATTAATCTATTTCTTTATTCATTTTTATAGATTAAAAAAATCAACAGGAATTTTCCCGTAAACCAGCAGGTAAGAAAAAGAAAGGTTGGGGTTGTTTGAGTTATAATTCTAATTCTCATTTGAACTATATTTAATTGTGTGGTATCTGTGCATTATTCTAAGAGAAGAATTCTCAGTAGATTTTCTTTAAAGAGTTCCTCACTGTTTTTATATTCTAAAGTCAAAGGGAACTGGAGTGTTTTGTCAAAGTAAGAACACACCTAATCTTTTCAAAATCTATTTAATAAATATATATATATATATATATACACAATTTTCTTCATCTTACCAATTTTACTATAAAAGAGGAGTGGGATTGTTATGCTTTACAGAATTAGACAGAATCCTTCAAGGTTCCAAAATTCTAAAAATGTATGGGTTTTCAGTGGGGTTTTTTTTTGCCTTGAATAGAGATCGTTTCTTGTACAATGCCTCATGAACACAATTGCTGCTATTCTCCACAGCTGTGTATCCAGGGATTGGATCTATGGGATGGAGGGATAGATCTTTTTGTTTTGAGAAATCTGTTCTTCCCACAGTTTCTTTTAAGGAAGCAAACCTACAGGCAGCTTGAAGTTCAAGGCTGAAATTGTGAGGTTCTAGTTGCTAGAGACCATAGTAAGAATCGACAACAGCCACACCTCCTCGAAAGGATCAACATATCATTTAGAAAACTATGTAAATAAAATATGAGTAAAAATATTCAAGGTAAAGCTCAGTACACTGTAAAGTTAATTAAGTATGCGTGTGTTGTGTATCACAACTATTATATAATGGTGATTTCATTTTAAGGTGATAAGGAGAAACAGAGAAATCTGATTTATAAGAAGGAAAAAATTACTTCCTTGCAGAAGGAGAGAAATTTGCATAGGACTGAGCTGTAAACCTGCCTTCAAGAAGACAGAGGAAGAAAAGTGCTTTCACCTCCATTACACCATACCTTTCAGTTAGTCAACATATTTCTCAGTATCCTGTCTCTGGTTCAACTTTATTACTATGGAATTGTTCTGAGTGTAACTCACAAGGGAGGTAGATACTACTATTTTGTTTTCTGTTTTCTTAATGAGAAGGTCCACAAATCATAGTATTTAGCCACAATAACAATAATACAAATACTACTATTAATAACAATATGGGTGAATATAAACAAAGCTACAATAATTGAAGATAACACTTGCATTTGGGCATTTTCAGAATAGTTCCTATAACATCAGTTGCTGACAGTGGCAAAGAAATGCTCCTATCTCAAAAAAAGGAAGAAAACAATGGCTAGTTAACAAAAAGCCATTAACTAGCTCCATTTTCACTCTTACCCTGAACTTACCTCTTTGCTTTTATTACTGTAAAAAAAAAAAAAAAAAGGCAACAAAATATGAACAACAGTTATAATGTCCCAGCAGTCTAACATATAATTCAGGGATCTTTTCTGTTTTGGAACCCTTGGCATGTGGGGTCAGTAAGGCATTTTCCTCTTCACTAGAATTCCAGTGGAAAGCAAAAGTAACTTTTGTAGCTTGAATAGCTTGTTGATCATATTACCTGTTAGGGCAGCCTGCAATATAATTCATTCTTTTCTAATCAGCACCAATGATTATATTCCAAAAGAATTACCATAGAGCATTTCAAGAAACTCAGCCAAAAGATCAAACTGAAAAGAGAGAGGCTGATTTTGATGTACAGTGAGACTGGTAAGGTCTTGATGCCCATCAAATACTGGAGATGAAAAAGGTTTATTGATCTTTAGGGAACATTAAATTCAAAACCAGACTCCCTTTTGGGCATATCTTATGTAAAGAGGGTTGCAGTTTTTATCATAGAAGGAGCTAGGAAATATCACCTAATTTAAGTTAAATAGTGTTTCTGAATAGAGTCAGAAAAGGCTACACAAATGTAAGGTTAATTTCTGTCTTCTGATGTGCAGCAAACATTAATATGGTATGGAGGGAAAGAACAAGACTTTTTACTTATATCAAGACATCATTATTTATCTAAAAGTTAAATTATCATCTTGAATACATTTATCATCTTGATTTTTTTTAATAAAATATATTTTTGTCTAAGAGGTTGAACAGCTAGTTTTAACTTCTTTCTGCAAACATATCAGGAGCTGTTTTCATTCTCTTCTGCTTTAAAAAAAAAGCGTGCATATTCAGTTTCACTTAACAAATACCCATTTTTTTTTAATGAGCACTAACAGGGTAATTCAGGATTATTTCCACTTATAATTTTTTTATATGTAAGGCTTGACATGCACACAGGTAACACCAGACACCAGGCTGTGGCTAAAGTTGAGAACTCTGCAATGTAGCTGGCAGAGAAGGCAAAGGCAGAAACCTGGTTTTCTGCTTTCACATGCACAATAAAACCCCAGGCTGAGTTCTCCCCCTGTGCTTTATGGCCTGCCTGGCTGCCCTGAGGGGGCCTCCAGGTGTGTCTGTGAGAATTTTATCACTTGTAGTAAGGGAGTTACTCTCCAGACATATAAAGAGAACATACACCGCAACCTGAATGAGAATAAATTCCTTCCCATGTAAAACCTTTTCCCTGGCAAAAGTTTCCTTGAACAGTTGATAAGCTCCCCCTCCTAACTATTTTTTCCAAAGGTCTTCTGCTCCTAGAATATACCTATGTGCATTTTAATTATTAGATAGAGGGGAAAGCAGTTATCAAACTAGCGTCAAGGAACCAACCCAGCTAAAACTCCTTCATGAAAATATTCTTGATATGGAGAAGAGAATAGGGGCACAGACAGAGCTGTTAGAATTACAATGAGGGGAAAAAAATGCCTGCATAGGTGTGGAAGATACTGTAACTCTAATAGTGTTATTCAAATGTCTCAATGTTGCAATAAGTAAAAAAAGATAAAAGAAAAAAAGTAAATAGAAATGACTTGTTGACTGCACATAATATGGTGGCTTTCCTTTAAGGTAGTAATTGTGAAAGCAGGTTTGTCGGGAAAATTATTAAAAATATAAGATACATTCATTGAAATTAAAATATCAGAGATGATGGGTATTGATAAGAAAGTGACAATTATTTGGACAACATGAAGCAATAATAAGTTCTGAGAAAGATGTTAATAAATTTAATAGTGGTTGATAGATGATTCAAAAAACGCTGGAAGAGGACCACACAGACAAAATATTGTTGAAGAAGACTGTGGGAGAAGAGGGAAATAAAGTTTCCCCTCTCTGAGCTGACAGTAATGAAAAGAACGCTTGAACATGGTAAAATTAGAGTATTGGTTGTGTTTTCTATATCGGTACTATACACATGGGCTATATATAGTAACATCTAAGAGGATACCAGCAAGTAGTTGAGAAAAAAATAATTAAATAATTTGCTACTCAAAATATAATGCACACTTTAAATATTCACTAAAAATAATATAGTGTCCTAGACAAAATTTCCATAACTTCAGAGAAAAAATTATACAGACCTCAGAGCAGAGAGGCACAAAGGATGGAATATTTTAAGGCTTGAGCTAGAGGCTTCTCTATTTGATCATCCAAGATGGGAGCATAAACACAGGTATGTTCTTTTTTCTTGGAACTCATCAGTTCTGTTCAGCTCTTACACTGATTACTGCAAATGTCAGCTCCTGCGAGAGCCCTCATTAGGCAGGTGATTCAGAAAGGTATCATCGACTCCCTGCTAACACTTTCCAAATGATAGGAAACGCACCCTACCTCAGTAAACTGTAGTGGTGTAATGAGGACAAGCGCTGCCCATTCCTTTTCAATTCCCAGTCTTTATATTAGCCACCATGAGTTTGTGAATGTGCTGGTCTTGGCTGAAAGTTGACTTGATACCACCTAGAGAAATCATCATTAGATAGTCCTTGTAAAATCTTCTGATCCTTCTCAGGGTGGGAAACCAAATGTATTGCCTCCAACTACCAGAGACTGTACTACATATAATTCTCATTTGCTGTTTGGGATTCATTGGGATTTGGCTTTTACTGGTTGTCATGCCAGGAGGATGAACTGGTTACCTATTGGATAAGGTACACAGTGGAATTCACGGTTTAGATCTAAATTCTAGTATGGCTTTCAGTTAATCTCCCACTGTCCCTACATGTACAAGTACAATGTTCATAAGTTGCAGTCAAGGAAGTCATAACCCTCTGATTTAAGTTTTAGCTTATTTCACAAGAAGCTAGTGGTACAAAGCAGAATAATTACCTGACAAACTCAGAGAGGTGATTTTTCATTTTATTGGATTATGGCTATGTTCACATACATGTTCACAAATGTAATAAATAGACTTGCTTCTCTACTACATGGACAAAAGTCAAATCTCAAAGTTTCACATGAACAGAGGTTTTACTCCTCATGCTGTATGTCTCCTCTCTATTAAGACGAATTGAAAGGCCTTTCGTCAATGTTAAATTCACAAAAAATATAGTGGGGAAGAATGCTATAATACTTTAAGTTGAACATTATTTTTCTTCTATCTACAGGCAGCATGAGCATTTTTGAAAGATTTGTCTTGTCTTTGCAGAAGATAAGAACTTTTCATTAAATCATTTTAATTTTTAAGAATAAACTTTCCCTCTAAAATTTTCTTACTTTTATAGAAAAGAATTGGTAGCTGTCCTATTCAAAGTTAACAGTCTATAACAAGAATTATGTGAGAATGAGAAAGAGTTTTTCACCTCCACAACTGTGACTCAATTTAGAAACATCATGACATAATGAACTGTCACACTAAGGCCAGAAACTGGGGTTTAATTGTGCATGTCAGATTCCACAGCACTCAGTTGTCATGAATCCCATTGTTTTGCAGAAATTTTACATTCTTGATGATGTTTACAAATACACATGTTTATGCCCATTTATTCTTGCTTTTTATATAATTTAATAAAAAACCTACATGCAGCTGTACCAGGTCAGCTATGTAATATCACCTCATATTCTGGTTTGATAGGCTGTCCTTCAGCTTGACTAAAGTTCTGCAGTTAGAACAATCTCATTTAAAATCAATTTCAAAAATTTGGCTTAGTGAGTTATTTAATAAAACCTAACTTA